TTAACACCTCTCCCTCCAGGCTTCTGTGTCTGTTCATGAGGTGTCTCCCAAGGGTACACAGTGCCTGTTTCCATGTTCCTCAAACCAGATACCAGTTTGCCGGCCAGCAGGGGGGTTCCAGATTGGGGGAATGAGGACTCTATGCAGCCTCAGTAACTGAGATCACAGAAATGAAGACATCTAATATGTACGCATTTATGCATGCTAGGTTTTGGAATAAGCACTATACACAGTATTTAAGCCACACCATAAAAAACCATTTTGTCAGTCTCACTGTGAAGGTGAAGAAACTGAGGCCCAGTGAAGTGAAATAGTTCACCCTGGGATACCCAGTAAGATGAGCACCCCAGATTTGAGGGGTCCCAGCTGGCTCCAAAGTGCTCAGCTGTCTCGTGAGGTAGCATGTGGAACAGCGCCAGAAGCAACCCATTCCAACTCCTCCCTGAAACCCAGCCCTGGAGAAGGTGGTGCATGAGGGGCAGGTTCAGAAGTGATTTCTGCTCTGAGAGTCATTTAGGAGATGGTCACAAGAGCTCTTGTGACCCTGCTGCCACTGCACCCACTGCAACATTTCTTTGTGCACTGAGCTTCTCCTGAGTGTCTGGCAAGTCTCACAATAGCCAGCCACTTGTGTATCTTCAAGTCTCAGTCTCCTCTTCCCAGGGGGGCAGAAAGACAGTACAGACAGGGGTGCAGCTCCGCTGTGCCCCACACATCCCTAAACACTCAATACAAGTGCACAGCTGACACGTGCTGAAGAAAACCACAAAGGTACAGGAACGTAAAATGTACAGATGGGTAATAACACACACATTCTTTTCTGTTTGTTTGCTTCTTGAGACACAGTCTTGCTATGTAGTCCAGGCTGGCCTCAAACTCACAATCCTCCTGCCTCAGCCTCCAAAGTGTAGGAACTACAGGCCTGTGCCACCATGCTCAGCTACATTGATCAAATTTTTGATCTGTATTTGTTTTGCAAAAATGTTAGCTTCACAATTAGTGTTCTCTTATTCTGCTTCCCCAGACAAGAAACACTATCTGTTCTGGATCAGAATTACAGCAAGAATCATCCCTTAGCAGGAACCATATGATTTCAATGCACAGATGAATTTCAATTAGACATTTATCTAACCATGCTGATGTGTTTTAAATTTAACCCTAAATTACAGTCCTTCTGAATAACTCTGTTCTCCCCTCTGCTCCTCTCTCTTCAATTTTGGTTTGGTTTTGTGAGAGGTCTGCTGGTAAAAATGAAGCAATACCAGTAACTTATCTACAAATTACGGGAAGGAGAAAGTAGGTTAAAAAAGACCAAGAAACTTAAAACAAATTTGATCAACCACATCCGAGCCAGGCAGGAAACAATAGGAGACTCTTCTTGCACATAGGGAAGGAAGGTAAATAACACAGGACTATTTTCAAGCAAGTTACAGAGAAGACTCATCTCACTTTTGGGGCCTCTTCCTGAATTTCAACTGCAGTCAACAAAATATGAGCAGCTTTTATCTCACACCTGAGAAAGGCAGTACGCGGAAGGAGAAAGCTGACACTTTCACTCTGCTCCTTCCACACTAGAAAGAGTCTCACTTTCAGTTCAGGCAACCACCATGACTGGTGACTGTGAACAAAAGGGACTTTGTGTGTCTCTCACTCCAAGAAGAGGTCCCCCAAGAGGAAGGACAGCTCTCCTAAATGCTCCCTTTGAGAAGAGAGTTCAATCAAGGTGGGTGTACTAAGCTAAGAAGTCACCAGTAATCTGCAATGTGCTTTTTTCTTTCCCAGTACCAAGAATCAAACTCGGGTCCTTGCGCTTGTGGGGCAGGTGGCGGAAACCCTAAGCTAAATCCCCATCCCTGCAATGTGCTCTTGCTCCAACTGCAAGCCCAGAACATCCACGTCAATGTCTTACATGTGATACCACGCAAGCAAGATGTGACTCTTGGAGGAAACTGGGGAAGATCTCTCTATTACTCCTTATAATTGCATCCAAATCTACAATTATCTCAGTAAGAAATTTCAACGGGGCCGGGGATTTAGCTCAGTGGTTCTGCTGCCTGCCTCGCAAGTGCAAGGTCCCAAGTTCGATCCCCAGTACCAAAACAAAAAGAAATTTCAATGAAAAAACTGCCTATCAATAGATGAAGAAAATGGGTATATACACACAATGCAATATTATTCAGCTTTAAAAAAAAAAGGCAATTCTGCCATATACAACAACATGGATGAACTCTGAGGACATTCTACAAAATGAAATCAGCCAGTGATAGAAAGATAAATACTACATGATTCCATTTATATGATGCCTCCAAAGTCATCAAACTAATACAAGCAGAGAGGACAGCAGTGACTGCAGGGGGTATGGAGGGGTATAGGGAGTTGCTCAATGGGTATAAAGTTCGGTTATACAGGTGGCTCTGTGGCAGATGGAGAGTACGCTGAACTTCAAGATGAATGAGCTTCAGAGATCTGCTGGACAACACTGGCCAACAATAATATATTATGCACTTATATTTTGTTGAGGGTAGATCTCACATTGAGTATTCTTACCACAATTTAAAACAACCTTGTGAACCCCAGAGACCTCTGAGCTCATCTCTTACAACACCAAGATAGCTGCAGCACTGCCATGGGAAGACATTCTGTGAAGAGGCCCTCACAGCTACATTGGGGATGTGCCACAACACAGCCCAAAGGGACCCAATACATCTCAAATTTGTTATTAATGTAAACAGAGTGTGCTGGTTGGGGACAAGGCAAATTTAATACAAACATATGTCTCATCAGCTGAGGCAGCCTTTGCAAAGCTTCCTGCAGAAATTTGTGCATAATGGAGACCAGATCTTCTGGCTGTTCAAGATATTCTAGAACTCAAGATCATTAGGTGAAACTTTATAAATTTTAATGTTAGCAACTTATCAAATTTTCTTCTAAATACTGTGAAGGGCAAATCAAATAGGTCTGAGGGCCAGGTTGTACCCTGTTGGGCACTTGGGATATATTTTCTCCCATCCTCACCAACAGCTTTCAGAGTAGGGTTTGCTTTCCTTGTTTCCTAAGTGGGGTAAAACAACTTGCCCAAAGCCACCCTGCTGGTGGGGTACTTGGCTGCTTGGACAGAAGGCCCTTTGGCTCTGCTGACTTGGCATCTGCTGCTTGCACTTATCAAAAGCTAGCTCAAGGAGTTCCCCAGGAACACTTCTGGCTCCATAAATACTAAGGCAGCTGTACATTTTCCAGACCAGATGACATCATGAACTAGACCATAGGGGAGGGGTCTTTTCTGTTTAGCTCATGTCATTTAATCTTCAGGTTAAACCCTCTTAGAAACACTCCTTCACCTTTAGAGCGCTTATCCAACTTGAGATAGGATATTTATCTGTATATTTACCCACATCTGTCTCTTCTATGGGAATAGAAACTCCAGTGCAACAGAGATCATTTATGATTTAGTCTATCCAAGGAATGAGCATCATGGCACAAAGGGCTTAATACATTCTTATTGAAAGCATTAAAAATGAGAAAGGCCATGCAAAAGCCCCACTCAATCTGGCTGAACGAATGCTGCCACCACGGTGGATAGAAAGTTTGTGGGACCTTTTCAGAGGTCCAAATGTTGAAAGAAAGAAAAAGAAAGAAAGAAAGAGAGAGAGAGAGAGAGAGAGAGAGAGAGAGAGAGAGAGAGAGAGAGAGAGAGAGAGAGAGAGAGAGAGAGAGAGAGAGAGAGAGGAGAGGAAGGAAAAGAAAGGAAGGAAAGAAAGGAAAGGAAAGAAAGGAAAGAAAGAAAAGAAAGGAAAGAAAGAAAGAAAGAAAGGCAGGCCGGCCTGGCCAGACCACTGTACACCAGAAAAACCAGAAAGGCGGGGGCCTCCTGTAATTGTACTCTCTGAAGTGATGGCCTTTCATCTGCAGGATTACATTCTACCCACACATCCAGGTATGGCAACATAGGTATTGTCCTGGGGCCACCCTGGCCCTTTAACCCTTGGCTCCTGCCTGCTGAGCACCTGGCTGCAGAGACAGCCAGCCCTTAGGAAACAAGCTCTTTGTACAAGACACACTGTGCTCATCTCAGACATGAATGCCAAGGCCATGTTGCAGCCGATATGGTGACAGATGTAATGCCTACCAGAAGGAGCTTAGAAAGGGTGAGATCTCTAACAAGAGGGTACCAGGTGCAAGGGCCTTCCAGGCTGTGGGTATAGTAAGGGCAGAGGTAGAGGCAGAAATACAGGGAAGATGAGAGAAAAGTGACCTGGGTCAGTACAAGGGCAACTGGAGCTCAGAACAAATGGGCAGGATGGTAGGAGGGATACAGCAAAGAAACACAGGGGACAAGCAGAAAAGCCTTGGAAGAAGTCACAACTCTAGTCATCAGGTGTTTCCCTCCAAATTCAAGGTCTTACAGATCACAAACACGTTCTATTTAGCCTATACATATAGTTTGCTGATGATTTGAAACCTGAAAGTTTTAATATAAAAATGGAGATCTCCAGCTTCTCTGGAAATATGAGAAAACTTGGCAATATCACATCGTATTTCTGCTGAACAACTGAAGACTGAGGTGAAACAACGAATGCACACAAAGGAGGCAAAACGCTTCAGTCTGCCACAGTCCCCAGCACTCCCTACTGCTCTCTCTCCGGGCCCCGCAGCACTCAGACATGGCCGCTGCCCAACATGGGTGGATATCTGTGCCTCTCACCTCTCATCTCTCCCAATGACAGCACCTCACAGATACACAATCTGAGGTGCAGAGTGGTACCGTTACTCTTCAATAACATATGATCAATCAAATCTACCATTCACATCTGACCCAAGGCTTTCCTGGGTATGCATTTCCAGCTCTGATTAGGTTTCCTGAAACCCAGACTGGCTTATGGGTCACCATCACTGCTGTAAAAACAGAATGTTGGTTTCTAGTTTTAGAGAATCACAGACTAACAAAACAAGGAAAGGCTTCTTATCAAGGCTGAAAAATAGTCTCAAAGCTAGTGACTTACAGAACTCCTCTGAACATCCTGTTCAGTCTTAGCGTACATCTCAGAAAGATCACCGTTCAGAATGACTTCAGCTAATGAGTTCACCAGTGGCGCGTGATGTATAATGAGGAAGACCTGTTGGAAAAGTAGAGATGAGATACATGGTAAAGAGTACAGTCTTTCCACGTCTTCCTTCCCTGATCAGAAACAACCCAGGGTGGGCCACAAAAAGTCCAAAGAATCGGTTACATCCAGGAAAAATTGGTTATTCTCTTCTAGGGCTGGCCTCTCCTCCAGACTATTGCCTATTTGGCTGGCTGCTCTTCTTCAGTAGGAAGTGCATGAAAGCGAGACCATCCCTCATGGCTGGACGAAGCCAAATCTAGCTGAAGTGGAGCAACATGGAAAGATGTAGCCAAACAAGCACACTCCTTCCTTCTCAAAGACATGTTAGTGTCAAATTTGATTATAAGATAGAATGCACTGTCTCAATACTATAGCTATACCAGAAGAAGGAGCTGGCAGGTACTGTTCCAATGAAGGACTTGGCAAAGGGACAGCCTCACAGAGATTCCATCACTGGAATGAGCTCTATGTCCTGAGGTGGGCTTTAGCACACTGTGACCCCATGGCCGTATCTGTAGGTGTGGAAACTGGGGAAAAGCCACACAAGCCAGAGGCAGATCTGGTCATGCTAGGATGCAAAACAGCAGGCTCTGGTCTAAGAGGGCCCTGCTACTCCACCCTGTTGCCCAATGTTCAGAGGAACAGCTTTGGATATCAAAACCAGTAGGTATTCAAAACCACCTACTGGTCCAGATACACTTGCTATCTTGATTTGAAAAGTAAAGGCAACAAGGTGTAGCACAGTGTGTTGTGTATCTACCATTTGTATATAAAAAGTATACATACCCATAGTTGTATTTGTTCATTTATATGTACACAGAACAGGGCTTCTCAAACTTGGCATTACAGACACTTTGGCCTAATCCTTTGTGTGGAGCAATCCTGTGCACTGCAGGACATTTAGCAGCAGCCCTGACCTCTCCCCCTAGATACCAGCAGCACATCCTTCCAAGGTCATGACAATTAAAAACATCTCCAGAACATGCTAGATCCTGCCTAGGGTGCAAAATCACCCCGAGTTCAGAAACCCTGGCAGTGAACATCTCCAGAAGGACATACAAAGACTGATCAAAAAATATGGTGTTTATATTAAAAATTTTTATTATAGTAAAAGACATATTGCCATTAATTCCCCTCAAAGTACTCCCTCTCACTCTAACCACATTTATTGCATCATTTTTGCCACTTTCTGAAAGAGTTCCAGAAGTCCTCTTTCATGTCTTTATGAAGTGTGATCAAGAAATACAGTGAATGTTGCTGCCAAGTGCTTTCCAACAGAAAGCAGCCTCATAAAAACACGATGGTGTGTCTTCATCCAACTTATTCACTGGATCTGGCACTGCGTGACTTCTGCTTCTTCCCCAAAGTCAAAATGACCTGAATCGATTCAGGATATCAAGGCAGCCACAAAAGCAGAACGAAAGACACTCGTGAAAGAGGACTTCCAGAACAGCTTCAGAAAGTGGTGAGTACAGGGCCGAGGATTTAGCTCAGTGGTTTCGCCACCTGTTATGCAAGTGCAAGGGCTTGAGTTCGATCCCTGGCACCAAAAAAAATGAACAAAGAAGAAAGTGGCTAGTACAATGAGATAAGCGTGTTCAGAGCCAGAGGGATTATTTTGGGGGAATTAATGTCAATACATCTTTTACTAATAATTTTTTTTTTAAATTAAATGTTCACTGTATTTTTTGATCAGGCTTCATTTTTAAAAAAGCCCTGTAGTTAGAAGTTATTGTATTTGGGGTAGAAACCAGGAGTCTCAACTCAAAAAAATGAAAACGTGATGTTCAGTTTGTTGAACTTTTTAACTTAAAAAACTTTATTTAAAAAGAATTAAGTTCATGTACGACTGAATTAGGTAGCTGTACTCCTGGTTCTTCACTAAGAAAACAGAAGGAGCATTCTGAGAGAAGAAGTAAAAGGCCTCCCCAGTAAAGTACTCGCTTCAGGGTACAGCAGCCATGTAATGCTTCAACAGCCAAAGGGTCCTGGTGATGCTTTCCACAGGACTCCTGTGGCTGAGCAACTGGCCTGTTTGGGTCCTGCCAGACTACCAGAATCCCCAGCAGGAGATGCTGCTGGATCTGTAACAAGGTGCAGAAAAAGCTGCCAGAGAGGATGAGGTTGCACTGACCTCTGTGGCACAGAAGGGCATTCAGACAGAGTGGGCACCGTGCAGAGATCTGAGTAAATAGAGCCACAAGAGCAAGGCTCCGGGACAGAAGCAGTGGTCAAGCCACAGCTGGATCCCAGTCAGCCTGCCCACGTCAGGAGCCAGTGGCCGAGTCTTTCCCCAAACTTGAAGCAGTGAGAGATCCAGTTAGAATGACAGACTTTCATCAAAGCTAATAAATACTGGTGCCATCACAAAAGTAAGAACAGAGCTCTGGTCGAACATTTGACTACTTGACAGGCTAATGAGATGGCCTATGAGTCTGGACTGTTAGTAATAAAAATATTTTTAAAGTTATGTAACTGGGTCACCATGGAATTTTTCCCTTCTTGTAAATATTACATAATTACAAGAAGGAAACACAGTTGTTTAAGGAGGTGAGGTAGACAAACTGGCTTGAGACACAAATCTGAGACTGGAGCTGCTATAAGCCACCTTTCAGAAGGTAGTCTGGGAACTAGAAACACAACAAAATCCTTTAAAAATAGCCTCATTGCAGGAAGTTTGTCAAGCCAAGGTTGCTTCATGTATGCACCCCTGGGCCAGCAGCTTGGGCCTTATTTTAAAAAACTATCAATGAAAACCATGCAGCCTACATTTCCAGGGTATTTAAAAGCACTCCTTGGTTGTTTTGGAAACCTCAGGCCCCACATAAAACTCAATTACACAAGGGCCAGGTTTGACTTATTTTTCATTTCTTTTAAAATTTCTATTCCTTACTATGAAGCCACCTCGACTCAGTGACTAGAAAATAGAATGCCCCTTTCTTTATATTTTGATTTTATTTCAAGATGGGGATCACAGAAAGAGATGGGCAATGCAGTCTGGGGGTTTCCTGAAAGGCAGCAACACTGAACAGGTGCAAAGGATGCTGGAGAACGAGCAAACATACCTGGGACAGAAGATAGAGAGATACCGGCAGGCTGATTTTCGGTCGTTCTCCTCCCTAGTGAAGAGTGAGGGAAAGAGAGAGAGAAGGGGGTTCAGGTCACAGAAGAGAGCCACAGAAAATACACTCCCCACCAAAAGCCAGCTGTTTGAAGAAGTGCCTGGGTCCCTGACTTCTTCCTGATCCAAAGGCCCTTTCATGGTGCTAGGCAAAAGTTCACTCTGGAGTAGACTGGTGCAGCCTAATTCCACCCAGTGCTATTCGCTAGGCCATTGTTTCCAGCTGTAAAACCCTTCACCCCCAGTCCTGGATTGGTGACTGACCCAAGAGAGGCGCTTCCTCCTGAGTACCAGGAATGCCCATTTCTCCAGCTGGGCATTTAGATCCTAATACAGAGGCCTGAGAGGCCTGTTCTAGGGAAGGGGTTTCAAAACATGGAGGAGGAGGTCTGGGGCACTCTAGTCTCAAAAAAGTTCTTCATTTCTACTGAGCTTCAAGTGCCCCATCTCACACCAGCCCTGAGAGGCAGGGATCTTTAGGACCCTCATTTTGCAGCCAAAGAAGTAAACTCAGAGAGGTTAACTGCCTTGTTCGAGGTCACAGGGTTAGGAAATTAGGGAGCAGAAATTTGACTCCAATTCCCAGGCTGTTGATGCCTACCGACAAAGGAGGCAACAAAGCCTGCTGATGAGCCCATTGTTGAACTGTCTCTGAGGACTAATTAAAGGGGAAACTTTCTTGCACTATATTTACTTATTTGTGGCAAGAATCCCCATGTTCCACCTCCAAAGAGGAAACAACATCCTCCTGGGACACATCTGAGGAGGTCCCCTGCAGGGGGATCAGTAGGTTGTCCTGCCTCCTTCTGAAACTCTGCTCTCCCAGCCCCCTTAACCTGGAAGGATAGACAGAGGCCTCCCCTCCCTGAAGCAATGTTTCTCAAGAGGGGATCCCAGAACCAGTGCCCAGGATCACCTGAGGGTAAATTACCAGTCCTAGCCCAGACCTACTGAATTACAAACCCCAAGGGAAGGGTACCTAAGGACCCATACCTATCCCCACAGAAGACTCCAAGGCCAGGGACCTGGGGACAGTCAGAGTCAGGGATCTTTCCCTGAGTGTGCTCATTCCTTCCTGTCTACTCCACACAAGTTCTGCTGTTGTCTGGATCGCCTCCAAATAAATTAGCTCTGATAACTCTGACAAAAAGTTACTGGGATGAGGACACCTTAGGGAAGATGCACAAAAAGGAAATGCCTGAGTTTGAAGCGGTTTCCTGTTTCCTCCTGGTGTCAGTAATCTGACTTTTTCTCATTCACTCTGACAGTTTACTCTCTTTCTCTGTAGGAGGAAAGGAAAGGGAAACCAGTGTGTTTTGAAAAGCCTCTGCCTCACACAAAGCCCTAGTCCCTGCAAAGCTCAGCCCTAATTCAAGGCCACTGCACTTCCCACTGGAAGACAGCCCACAGGGGCAGGACCCACCTTGTCCGGGTTCTCCAGAGAGTACACGTAGAGTGGCAAGAAGAGCCTATTGAGTAAATGGTCTGTGAGCACATCGTTGAGGAACTCACAGTTGATGATCAGGATGTCATTGAGATAGTGCAGGTGGTCTAGGTGCTCAGCTACTAGGTCACTCAGTTTCCCCCGATTCCGGTGCCTGCCAAGAGACATGACCTCCTCAGCCTGGAAGCCAAAGCTCAAGGCCTTTGAGACTAAAACCAGTGGCCTGAGACTTGGCTAGCTGGGGGGGCTTTCATTCACACAGCAGCATCTGAACCCATCCTGCCCCTAAGGGAGATACACAAAGGCAAAGTGAACAGGCTACTGCAACCCATTCTAGGTGATTCCTGGGATCCTTCCCCCGAGGGCCTTGGTATAAGTCATCCCACAACCACAGCCCTGAACAAGTGGGGTAAACAAAGAAAAACACAGCTAAGCTCATGTAGAAAGCCACTGAACAAAAGTAGCCTCTGGCCAATGTGGCAAGATCCCCTGGCTCCCCAGGCTCCCAAAAAGGAACATTAATGGAGCCATAAATCCTCACCAATTAAAATGCTCCGGCCAAGATCAGAAGACAAAAGCAGGCTTTACTCAGCAGCCACATCCATCCACCCCACGGCCCTGACCATGTGTGGGACACAGAGAAGGACACATATTGCTGTGTCTCCTGGGTGCAGCCAGCCTCATAACTCAAAGGGACAGAATCAAAAGGACTGGGGGCTCACTGTTACTACCCCCAAGCAGCAGCCATGGAAAACTGCAGTCTAGCTGGGGTAAGACACCATGTTTGTATTATTATTATTCAAGGGATAGATGGTCATTTCAGAAGACAGAAGATTTTGAAAGAAAATGAAAGTAAACAGAAAACTGAAGTTCTTATCATGCTACCAGTCACAGATATCCGCTATTAATATTTTGGGACATAAGACCCTACAATCTGATTGTGCACATTTTTATCTCTCCCTATAGTCAACCTAAAAGAGGTGTTACATATCCATCTAACTCTATGCGCTTCAAAAAGTAAGTAAAACGGAGAATCGATTGTGCTCCTTTTACATAACTTTAGGTAAGTATTCTTTAATAACATACATAGTAAATATCCATTGTAAGTATATGTTGCAAAGCCTAAGAGTACAACACCTCCGAATCCACCACCTGAGACCCAGAATACTCATTCACAACACTCATTCACAATGTTTCACACTTTTTTTCCACGTCATAAGATACTGCAGTCTCTCTCTGTCTCTGTCTGTCTCATCTCTGTGTCTCTCTCTCCCTCTCTCTCTCTGGTCCTGGGGACTGAAGCCAGGGGCACTCCACCACTGAGCTATACCCCCAGTACTTTTAAAATTTTAGACAGGGTCTCACTAAATTGCTCAGGCTCGGCTTGAACTTGTAATGCTCTTGCCTCAGCCTCCAAATAGCTTGGATTAAGGTACATGCCACCATATCTAGCTGGAAAATTTTCTTGAGTAAGCTATTTAACAAATCTCATTGTTTAATATTTTAGTTTAAAAATATTTTATCAAAATAAAGCATGCAGGTAGATTTAAAATCCAAACAGTATTGATCAGGTGACAGTGAAAAATTAGAAGCTCCTGTCCTAGCTTCCTCCCTCCAGAGAAGGCAGTTTTAAACTTCTGGTTGTTTCTACAGATAGTTGGTCTCACACTTCTTTTTTTTTAGTACCAGTGATCGAACTCGAGACCTTGCACTGGCATGACAGGCGGCAGAACCACTGAGCTAAATCCCCCGGCCCCAGTCTCACACTTCTATAAAAGCTGTGTGGACTTCTATTTGTGATGGAGCCTTTTTAGATAGTATCTATTGGCCTCCCGCTATGACAGCACTCTTCATGTTCCCTCCACCTCTTCCCCTGAAAGGAGTTACCAATAATGGGTGTTGACATTATCACGACTGCTCACTGCAGACCCCAGCAGAGGACTATGAGTTTATTTCCTTCCCTATATAACTTTGTTCTTTCTGGAAGAAAGTGCCTCATTATGTCTCCCGTCCATGACTGTTCATGTCCACACAGGTTCTTATTTTTTCAAATGCTCAGTCAGATCTGCCATCTACTTGTCCTTGTTGTTTCCTTTCCAATACCAGAACTAATATCAGATCTCCTCCCTCAGGAAAACTCCCTCCTGGGTCCCTTCAGCATCCTGGCCTATCTAGATGTCCTCTTCCTCAGGCCTGGGCAAAGCTGTCCTGCAGGGCAGTAATTTTGCCTTAAAGGGATAGATCTGGGGACATTTTTGTTTATCACAACTGAGGAAGAAAAGCACTGGGCATCTAGTGGGTGGAGGCCATCTAGTGGGTGCTGTCAGACACCTTACAAGGCACAGGGCGTCCCCTCAGCATTGGAGTAGCTATTCAAATGGTTAGCAGTGCCAAGCGAAAGAAGCTCTTCTGTGGGAGTCCTATTTCACCATTCTGAGGACAAAACCACCACCTTAAACTATTTTAAAAACTCATTTATTGAAATATGACTCACATACCATAAAACTCATCCACTTAAAAATACACAACTTACTACAAATGAATCCCACACCAGCCTGAACTACATAGCAAGACCTTGTGTCAAAAAAAAAAAAAAAATATATATATATATATATATATATGTATACACAACTTAATGGTTTTTTAAATTAATTTATTCATTTATTAATTATTTTTCAATGTTGGGGATTGATCCCAAAGCCTTATGTATACTAGACAAGTGCTCTAACACGGAGCTACACCCCCAGCCTCAATGATTTTTAGTATTTCAGAATTGTTCAATCATCACCACAATCAATTTGAGAATATTTTTTTCCCTCTGCAAAACGTCCTATATTTATTAGCAATGACTTCCCCTTTCTCCCTACACCCCTTCCTGCCATCCCCAGGCCTGGGAAACCACTAATCTGCTCTGTATCTCTAGATTTTCCTATTCTGGGCATTTCATGTAAATGAAATCACAGGATATGTGCTGCTTTGTGTCCACTTCCCTCACTGAGCACAATGCCTCTGAGGTTCGTCCATGTCATAACTCCTGTGAGTACTTCATTCTCTTTTATTGCTGAATACTATTCCTTTGTATGGACAGACCACATTTTCATGACTCATTGACAAATCATTTTACTCTTCTCACCAGCTGCCTGGCAACCCCATCTATGAGTGCACTGAATTTACTTTCCCTCTTCCCCTCCTGAAGGTATGGGAGTTGTTTCAAACAGGTAGGGAGAACCTTGGACAATGCAGAAGTCCACACTCTGCCTACACATGGGTAGCCGAGTGCTGTTCTCATCTTTATTTTTCCACAGTGGAATCTGAATTCTCCTCTAACCACCAAGGCTACCCCCTACACACCCTGGGGGCTTCACTTACTCCTCATCAGTCTGCACACAGGTGTCAAGTTCAATCACGTGGCTCCCAATGAACCAGACCAAATTGGAGAAGTAAGGGACGGCAGTTTTATCTCTGATATAGTGCAGCATGGCCTGGTTGTCCACTGAGAAAATTCACAAAAGAAAAAAAAATGTCAGGCTACTAAAAATAACTTGGGGGAGATTAAAAAAAAAAAAAAGCAAACAAACCCAAAACCACAATGAAAAAGCCCTTTGCAATAATCTGAAATTATCTGTCTTTCCTGGAAATACTTGAAAATGTTTATCTTATTCATAAAACTATACTTGTCATGGCAGTTCTTATGCTATTCTTAAATTAATAAAGTAAATAAGTGGGACTAAACAGTTTTAGTGCATTAGAGAGCTTATTTATCAGCATGGATTTAGCTAAACTGCTAAGAGAAGCACACCATTCTTAAGTAAGCTTCTTGTATTTACATGTAAGGATAGGATAAGAAAGTGGAAAACCAGAGGTTAATAACTTACATGACACTGGAATAAGGAACAGGAATCGTCATTGAAGGAAAGGCAAAAAACAGACAACAGTTAACAGGGTTAGGAACTGGGAAGGTGAGACAGCTGTCTAGAAGGATAGACAGCTGGGACAGGAGGCATCTAAACCAAAAGATATGTGTTAGTAGAGAACAAGGGAAAACAGAGAACAGAAGGCAGTGTGGCCCAAACATGGCTTGGACCAGGGTCGCAAACTCAGGAGCTGCCAGGGTGGTTGATGGCCCAGGAGTGAGGCCAGCAGGTCCAGTATGTAAACCCAGGAGCCCAGACCTCAACCCCAAAAGAACCAAATGCTTCTCGGGAGCAGCCGACACCTACCCTGCAGGACTGTGGGCTCAAAATGTCCAAATTTACATTTTCAAGTCAGAAAACATACTGTCGTGCAAGATCTCCGCATTTAAAAATACTGGCAACTTAAAAAAATTACTGGCAACTGTATATTTTTTCAGAAAACATCTAAGCCAATTAAAATATGTCTAAGTGCTGGATTTACCCTGCAGGCCCTCAGTTTGCAATCTCTTGATGGGCCCACCTGGGCTTCTAAAAAGGCTCTTAAATTTAATGTAGACCCAGAACTAGGTTTGCACAAGTCCTTGCAGAGCCTCCTATGCCCCCAATTAGGGGTCCTCTCAAGTAATAACATCTTGATTCATGAAAGTTAAAGTCTCTCTAATCCCTAAGAAAACGGAGATGGGGCTCCACTGCAGTGTCCACAGGGAATTAAAGTGGGCATTAGGCAGAAAATTTCCAAGGCAGTGCCTTGAAGGGGCAATTCCAGCTCTGGAAACTTGGGGACAGCCAGTTTTTGGGAAGGCTTTCTCCCAGAGGCAATGTTGGGAGCATTAAATACATCTTGAAAGAAAGGAGGAATTTGCCCCGTTGGGCTTTGCAGTCAGATGGAAATGCAACATTGCCCCCTGCTGTTCATGATGTGAAATGTTTTTATTCATGAATCCAGCTGTACTGAAGGATATTTTATAAACCCAAACACAAAAACACTTAATAGACAACTTTGCTTTATCTGATTTATTTCTCTGAATTCCACATGTCTTCCTTAGGATACCCTACTTCTGAGCAAGAATGAAATATGCAGGGGAAGGCAGTGTACAGACTTACATCAGGGACTAGTTAAGCGCAAGCCTTCCATGAGATGTGTAGACCCAGCTTATACTAAATGGGCTCCCCGTTCCTCTCACAGTCCTGGAGGCTGTGACCCATGACAGCAGCAATCAGCCCAGGCACAAGCTCGTAAGGAAACTTACCTTTATAGACGTTCAAAGTTATGGTTCTTACAGCAATCCGAACCATGCTTTCAGGGTGATTGAAAAATTTGATGGCTTCTGTGTATAGGGCAAAGTCATTGGTATGCTAAAACAAAAGAATTACCAGAATGTTACAAACCCATAGGTCAACCTGCCCCCACCCTAGCTTTTGGAAACCCATCAGAATGAAAACTACATGAATAAACGACCAAAAAGAAAAATACAGTAAAATACAAAAGAAAAAGTTGCCACCATGAGCCTCGATCCAGTGGTTCATTCCCAATGGGAATGTGGGAAGGAACAGGGAGGCAAGGCCACAAAAGAAATAGAAAAGGTTCAAATAACGTCAGACTTGGGTTCATTACCTGTCCTACCACTTCTTAGCTGCGTGAGGTAATATTTCTAAGCCTCTGTTTCTTCATCTATAAAATGGAGACAACAGCACCCACTTCATATTTGCTGGAATTAAATGAGAACATTTCCAGTCCAGTGCTTAACTCAGCACCTGACACCTAATGCGTACCCAATATTAATGCTAGTTATTATTAGACGCTGCTGCAAGTAACTGAAGGACAAATTTTGTACTAAGTTTGGAACATCTATTGGCCACTACATTTTTCTTTATTTGGAAATACTAAAATCATAAATATTATCATGGAAAAAGAGGCTTCCAGGAGTCCTCTCCTGTTGAAAAGAGACAGCTCAGTGATAGGGTGCCTACTTAGCATGCCCAAGGCCCTGGGTTCCATTCCCTGCACTAGGGGTAAAAAAGTGTGTGTGCGTGCATATGTGTATGAGAAGAAATCAAACATATCAAAACCACAGAAACCCACTGTCCCACTTAAAGAGAGCACATTGGAATGTAGACCAGGAGCCACATAGTGGTGTGCTCTGCTGCCCTCTGGTGGCCAAAGCTGTGAGGGGGGCCCCCCACAACAGCCCAGGAAGGAATCCCAGCAGCCGTGGTTGGCTGTGAGGAGGTAAGGGCTCAAGGTAACAAACATCCAGTAAGGACAATGCACTGACTACTATATGCCAGGCACAGGGTCTCATGGTGTTAAACTTCAAATGGCCACGTTTTGTTGTAGACAGCTAGTATTTCCTCCCTTGGAGACTAGCTCTTCTCCATCGCTAAACAATTAAAGTCAAGGTTCAGGCTGCTGATGCCACATCATATGGGGACAGCTGAATAGATTTGGCCCAAACTTAGAAAATATATTTGGAACCATGGTTAACTTCAGATAGAGGCTCTGAGTGTACATGAACACCAATCAGAAGACACCTGCCACACCGACAGCAAGGGACTCTGGGAACCAAACTCCGAGCTGGGCCCTAAAGAACCCACCTCCCATGTTCACATTCTCATATCACCTCTCTATACAGAGTCCCATGGTGGAATGTGGTGGAAGTGAGTGTGTGACTCCTGATGCTGGGCCATAAAACGCATTAGTTTGTCTTCTCTCTGTGATCACTCACCCACAGAAGCCAGCTGCTAAACCCTGAGGACACTAGCTTCAAGAAGTGGCCCACACAAAGGGGAACCAAGGCCTCCCACCAACAGCCAGAGCCAACTGGCCAGCGAGTGAGCAAGCCACCCTGGAAGCACTTGCCCTCCCCAATCCACCCTTCCGAGGACTGCAACCTCCCATGAGACTGCCAGACTAATCCCCAATTCCAGACACACTGGGGGAGAAATTCTGACCTGTGAGATGGGAGAGGAAGTCTGGCGGGAGAGCTCTGAGAAAGGTTTTTAGAAGTCAAAAAGAGACACAAGAAGGGAAGTGAAGTCATCAGAAATTTCAGCAGTAGCATGTGAGTATGGGATGTTTGGAGTGGCTGCAGCCATCCTGTGACCCTAAAGGTTGAACCTGAGCACAGATGCCAACTGCACAGTCAAGAGAGCAGGAAGATGGAAAAACCAGGGTCCCTGAAGAAGTGGGTGAGCCAGTTCCAGTACATCTGGTATTTGTATGTAAAGGGACCTTCTTATTCAAGCTCCTTGTAACTGTGACAGCAGCAGCAATTTATTTCAGTTCTTAATTATTCTCCCAAGGAACATGAGCTTGTATAGAACAGCAATGTCTACAGTTTTAGGAAGCCAGATACATACTGTGTGCTTTGAAGATATCATCTATTCAACCCCTGAAAACTCTTCCGATTTCTCAGATGAGGAAACTGAGGCTCTAAGAGGGACTGGAAGTTCCCTGAGGTCACTCAGCAAGGAAGTGGCAAAGCAGGCCTGCTGGGAGTTCCTGTTTTTCCTACAGGGAATCACTATTTCAAGACAACTGGACATTTCTCTTTGATAAGCATAATATTCTCAGCACAAACTGAATTTTCTTTTTGGTACCGGGGATCAAACTTAGGACCTTGCACTTTCGAGCCAGGCATGGCGCCACTGAGCTAAATCCCCAGCTCACAAACTGAATTTTATATTAAAAATAGAACAGTAACTTTTTGAATCAATTTTTAAAAGAATGCTCAAATCAAACAGTGCTGCTGGGGGCGGGGATTTAGCTCAGTGGTTTCGCCGCCTGCTGTGCAAGCACAAGGACCCAAGTTCGATCCCCGGTACCAAAAAAAAAAAACAGTGCTGCTGGGAGAATCATGACAGAAAGCACCGGAGCGCTCTGTAAACAGATGCGTGACTGCACAGCTCCAGGGCACTGCTGTGACAGGTTTAGCTCTACACCCAAATGCGCTTCTCTGGCAATCACTTACTTACCTCATTGTAAAAGAAATGGACAGTGTGGTTGTTGAGTTTTAGTGAAAGTGTCTTCAGGAATGATATATAATATGCCATAATCTCCTCATCAGAAAAGTCAAATTTATGAACAATGATAGAATTTACATAGTTATTAGACAGCAAATAATCTAGAGAGAGAGAGAGAGAGAAAAAAAAAGGTTAACTCATGCTAGAGGAAACACAAGCAAAGGATGTTGGGTAACAAGCAGGTGACCATGAAAGGGTAGTTGGATCTGTTGAGCTTCTGAGTTGCTGGGATTAAACAATTTACTTTCACTTTTAACCAGAAATCATCTACTATGCATGGTTACTGGAACAGTTAATGGCAGTGCCAGAGGAAAGCCTTCCCTCCCACCCCCTCCACACCCAAAGGAACCAATGCTCAAACTTTTTTTTCATTGCTGCCAGAGATCATCATAGAGCAGGGTGGGGAAGATTAGGTGGTGTGTGAGCACTTTCACAACCATAAATGATGGGGAAAGCACTGTGTTCTATAAAAAGTTGCCCCACCTGCTGCGCAAGCGCAAGGACCCAAGTCCGATCCCCAGTACCAAAAAAAAAACCAACAACAAGAAAAGCTGCCCCATTTTGCCAAAGTCACATCACTGTCCCTGAATGCCACAGAGCTACACATGGTTTTTTTTTTTCTTCTTTTGCAGCAACATGATTTCATAAAGGTCATATTATGCTGAATCCCCACTAAATGTCAAACAGCAGGCTAAATGATTCCTGTTGTAGTTCATAATGACGCTGCAGAGCATGGGTCATTCTTCTTGTGTTGCAGATGAGTAAAAAAAGCTTAGAGAGGTTGATCAACTGGCCTGAGGACACAGCCACTAGAGAAAGAATTCGAATTTAAGTCTAAAGACAGAGTCGGGTTTGCCTTGCACTAATAGGAGGTGGCAATGAAGACTGGATCTGAGGGCACTGGGGCTGCCTGGAGAGCAGCCCACCTTCCCCAGACTACCTCTGGGCCCCTGATCCCTGTGGCAATGCAAGTCCAGCATGGTTGGTGCTTCCAACTGAGGAAGGGAAGCTGGAAAGAACAGACTGTAAGGCCGAAGTTCCTGATCTTGAAATGTTGGCTATGGCATCAACTAAGTTTAAAAGCTATGCCAGCCAGCACAAACAGGTCTACAGACCAGCTGCAGCTTATGGCCTGAGGTCTGAAATCCCCGTGCTGGCCCTTGTTGGACATGCGCCGCTGTGTTCTCAGCAGCCACTGCAAAGCAGGTGCTGCTGTCCCTATTGTCTGTCCTTTGGGGTGCTAGCAGGCGAGCACTGCTCCAGCTCCCCTGCCTCCCCACAGATGGTCAAGGGCAGAACACATACAGGTGAGGCAAGAGAGAGGAATCACCCAAACATCACCAAGAGCTATTCATGGCAAGGACCTATGCCGGGTCCTGCTCAGAAGCCAGTTCTCTCGGAAGGTCACTGCACATTTCTGAGCAGGCTCAGCAGGCAGACCATGCAGACTGTGGTCTCAGAAGAAGTTTCCAAAGTCTCCTGATCATAACAATTCCTGAGGCAGCTCCCAGGGCCTGCTCCAAAGACGTCAGGGGTCTGCGGTGAGGACCTGGGAATCTTAGTGTTTCTAAAAATGAGGCTACGATGAGCTTGATGTACACATGTATGTACCTTAAATTTGTGGACATGTGTATTTATATATCACAAGATTTAGGTGTCCAGCTTGAATTTTACACACCTACACACCATGTAAGCACACAAAGATAAGACCTATCATTCACACACACACACACACACACACACCCTGGATCCCTCACACCTCTCCTTGCCAGGATGTCCTTCCCCATGGAAGGCCCCATTCTGACTTCCACCTCCATTGACAGGCTGTGCCTATTCTTGAATCCCCTGCTATAAATGGAGTCAGCCAGCAGGCACTCTGCCTGGGTCTGGCCCCTTTTGCTCATCACATCTGAGAGTCATCCACGTCACTTGTTCATTCCCTGCCTCCCTTGTTTTGCTATATAGCATCCCATTCTTTGAACAGTCTATAGATTTATCCACCTAAAATCTAACGTGGAACATGCAACCCAGGTGATTCTGATACCTGGAACACTTTTTTTATTGTGTCATTCTGGATGTGGATGGAAACAACAGGGAGGAGAATGAGCTGACAGAAGAAAGGAATGTTTGGATGTTTTGTGAGCCCTGTTGTGACTGGGTAGTGTCTCCTGGGCCAGTAGCAGCACAGATACCTAAGCTGGCAGCTGCAGATACACAACTGAGGGGCTCCTGGCTGCATTTGGGACCTGAACAGCCACAGACTTCATCTGCTTCCCAGGGGGATTTTTTCAGGGCCTCCAAGAGATGACTCCATGGGTGAGAGGTGACCCCCACTGGGGCAGTGGAAGGGCCTCTATTACTTGGCTGGGATTTTTCTACTACCCCCTCACTATGCGGCTGATTTTCTGTGGTATCCTTTCATAATAATCCCAGGAGTCTACAAGTAATCTCAGTCTCTCAGGCCTCTGTCACATAGGTTACCAAACCCAACAGGCAAGGGATGCATGTATGAAACAACTGCTGGTAATAGTGAAAAATTGGAAACCACCTAAATGCCCATTGTAGGCTAAACAGATTACTGCACAGCAAGATGCAGTTCTTAAACCAAGAGAGGGAGGGCTGCAATGAAAAAGATCTGAGACAAACTGGTGAGGTGGGAAAGAGTAAAGCAAAAAGCACAATGCCTGACGTGGACTGAACCATTACAGTGAGATGCTACAAAAACTTAACTGTGTATTTTTATAATGTTTGGTATTTCACTGTTTCGTAATAAAGACAATTTCTATGATTAGAAACTAAAACCAAAGGCCATCCCTCCTCATCCCTTGCAAATCAAAGTTTTATAAACAGGCAGTGGTTTCTGCTATTTTTTCAAGGCTTCTAACAGCACTCCAGTGAGCTGTCCATAAAGCAAGGGGCATCTGCCTGGGTTTCTCACAGCAAGGCACCCTTCCGGCCCCAGTACAAGAAAAGCCATGCATACTGCATGACCTCACTTATGTGTGGAATCTAAAATAGTCAAGCTCACAGAAGCAGAGAGCAGAAAGGTGGTTAGCAGGGTTGAGGTGCAGGGAAAAGGGGGAGATGTTGGTCAAAGCATAGAAAGTTTGTCTTGCAAGATGGCTAAATTCTGGAGATCTAAGGGATAGACAGATCACATGGTGACTATAGTTAACAAGTCTGTACTATACACTTGGAATTTGCCAAAAGGATGTTCTCACCACATACCAAAAGGTGACCACATGAGGTAATATGTTAATTAGCTTGATTGTGGTTATTATTTCAATATACATGTAAACCAAATCAAGCTGTATACGTTAAATATATACAATAAAAAGCCAGAATTTATAAAGTCCCCATCTTTAATTCCATACTCCTGTGCCTAGCTGGGCTTGGAAAGGGTTACCAGAGACAAGACTGGAAGGAGTGCTTCACTAAGTGATACGACTGGTGTTACAGCCACTTCTCGCCCTCTGGTGCCTATGCTAAGCTCACACTTGCTCCTTAACCCACCCTCTCCACCAGCTGCTGTTATCTCCGCTGGCCAGATGCACAATCTGCAGCTGGAGAGTTAGCTCCCAAGCACATGCAGGCAGCAAGTAGCTGAATCAGCCCCAGCCCTGGTTTGGGCAGAGTCCTAGGCCTGTGTCACTGAGGTGGATCTTCCCCTTTCACAGAGTTCAGAAATTGCACTTGCTTCATATCCAGAAAAACAGAAGCTGATAACAGGAAACCACCCAGGGAGACATAAGTCAACCCACATTTGTGCACTTGCAGTTGTCCCAAATATGAGAACTGTCTCTGGGACAGCAGCACCACCTAGTGGCGGCTTCTGAGAACTGCCATACAGCAACTCTTGTCCCCAGGAGAAAGGCTGCCACGACCACCTCCTTCCACCCACAGCACGCTTTTCTCAAAAATGTCCCAGGGACCAAGAGCCTTCCTCTGATAGGCACTCAGCCACTTTTTTTCTCTTTTCCACTTCTTGCCGGCAGGACATGGGCTGTGCTGCCATCAATCAAGCATGGAGGATTAGGAACTAAACCAGGGTCACTCAGCCGCAGTACTGTGGACAGTTTGGGCTGGGAAATTCTCTGCTGTGGGGTTGTCCTGGGCACTACGGGACGTCTGCACAACCCTGGCCTCTACCCACTAGACACCAGTAGCAGCCCCTCTGCAACTGGACTGTGACTACCAAAATATCTCCAGACACTGTCAATGCCCCCTGAGAGATACAAACAGCCCGCTGAGGACCACTGAGCTCATTCACCCAGATGAAACCCCTTCTCTACTCCGGCTTTGCTACAGCTGTCACCTTGGGCCCACGATTCAAACTCTCTTGGTGTTAAAATGAAGACATCAACAGCCCTGCTTCCTGGGGTGCTTGTGACGGATGAAGAAATGGCTTAGGGAGGGCAGATGATGTGCTCAGAGCTAACTAGATGGGCAGCAGAACAGAAGCAGGAGGGTCAGGGGCCACAGCACATGAACCTGCAGACCCTGTGGCCGGTTCTTCCTCACTCTGCCTTCTCTAATACTTAATCCATGGTCTGATTACTCAGCAACCAACTCCTTAATAACAAGCCACAAAGAAAGAATGCAATCACTCCCAGAATTATTCAGCAGAGAGGAACCCTCTCCTAGCCCTTCACAGTATCCCACCACACAGGGAAAACAGTGTTATAGACTGAACTGCATCCCCAGCAAATTCAGATATTGAAGTCCAAACCCTCGATGGGACTGCATTCGGAAGTGGGGCTTTTAGGAGGTAATTAAGGCTAAATGAGGTCACCAAAGGTCAGGAGGACCTACGGTAGTCAGATGGAACTGGTGTCCCTATCAAAGGAGAAAGGGACACCAGGACTGTCTCCCTCCTTCCCTCCTACTCTTTGTCACACACACACACACACACACACACACACACACACACACACACAGAGGAAAGGCCATGCATAGTGAGAAAGGGACTGGTATGGTCTGAGTGTGTCCCTCAAAAATTCATGTTAGAATCAAGGAGTTGAAAGAAGGGGCCTAGTGGGATAGGATGTGTTTATGTCATGGAGGTAGAGTTCTCATGAACAGAGTCATTAATGGCTTTCTTGCATGAGTTTTTGCTCTCATGGAACTGGATTAGTTACTTCAAGAGCAGGTTATTCTAAAGTTACTGCTCTCCCTCTTTTGCACATGTCCTCTCATCCTTGAGCTTTCTGTAATGAATCAAAGCAGCATGAGGCCCTCATCTGCTTGGCCTTTTTTTTTTTTTTTTGCGGTACTGGGGATTGAACTCAGGACCTTGCACTTGCAAGGCAGGTATGGTGCCACTGAGCTAAATCTCCGGCTCCATCTGCCCAGTCTTAGATTTCTCAGCCTCCAGAGCCATGTGCCAAAACAAACCTTTTTCATTTACAAAATACTCAGTCTCGGGTATTTTTGTTACAGCAACAGAAAACAAACTAAGCTGTTGGCTGTCTGCAAGCCAGGAAGAGTCATCACCAGCAAAAAATGCTGATGATAGCTTCAACTTGTGCTTTTATCCTCCAGAACTCTGAGAAAACAAACATTCACTGTTTAAGCCACTCAGTCTGCAGTGCTCTGTTAGGGCAGCCCAAGCAGACTCACATACGAGGCAAGCAGAGACACACAAAAGCCCTGCCACCCTACACCCTGCCAATGCCCTACAATCCACAGGCAAGTGTCAAGGAATGTCCTTACAGAGCGAGGTCTCATGACTGATATTCTCAAAGAGGATGTTCAAGGTCTGCAGCAGCTGAACGCACACGTAGCGGCCTGATTTCTGCCGTAGGATGTTCAAGAAGAAGACAAACATGTTCTTCTCCAGGAAGAAGCTGGGGAGAGAATGGGACAGAGTCAGTGGTTTGCTGTACCATAGGAAATTAAAATCACCCTCTGGTTACATTCACAGGACATGTGTTAGCCTTGTCCTTGCAAGAGCATCAGCAGGGACACCAGATCACACCACACCTCCTGGAGGGACTTGGTTCCCATACATCTGTTTCCCATGATGCCATCTTCCTTCAAGGTCAACACACGACCTTTCACCTCTCTTCCCAGAATGCAAGAACAGTGCTGATTCCAGGAAACAGAGAACTACATTACTGACAGGATGGGAATGATCTTTACTAAGCAAGTCACACTGTAATCTATGCTTCTAAACCTACCAAGCAGCATTTCCCATCACACTCCATATCCTCTGTTCTCCTTACTAGGCCTCTTTCCTTTATTCTCCCTATCTTTGAGTGTTAAGAAAAACACAGTGGAGGGCTGGGGATTTAGCTCAGTGGTTCCGCCACCTGTCTTGCAAGTGCAAGGTCTGGAGTTCAATCCCTGGTACCAAAAAAAAGAAAAAGAAAAAAGAAAAACACAGTGGGGATTCCCTGAAGAATAATGCCGAATAATAAAAGAGCTTTGGTTTCCAAGTTGTCATGTTTCCATATCTGGGGAAAAGAATGAAAAAGAACACCAGAGGTGCTGACATATTGGAGGGACTGTAACCTGCCCCTGAGTCTGCTTCTGCCTGTCTTGGTCTAGACAGGGCACTTCTCTGAATTCAGCCTGGGGCAGTGGCTTTGGGGGGTACATGTTGGAATCAGAACCCCATGATGCCTTTCTTTAAAGTAAGAAAATGATGCTACTGGTTGTGTCCTGTGTATTCAAGCTAAGTCATTTGGAACAGTCACCAGAAATTCCAGCAGTCACACCTCCTGGTTGACTAGTTGTGGGTGTATCTATCTCCCTTTGACCACAGTTCCACAGTGGTGGGATCAGGGGCCTGGCATCTGCTCAGTGCTGTCTAATTTCTATTTGAATCCATGAAAGGGTAAATGAATGGATAAATTTGACCTAAAAAACCCCAAAAAACTAAAATCTTTTCCAATACTGATTCTGAAATCCTGTCTGCTGTAAATGCCATTCATGTTGACCTCCAGGGGTATTTCTGTCATTTGACCTATTTTGTCTACTTCACCTTAGGTTGTATAAATCAGTGACTCCCAAGTATTATCAGCACTCTCACTGCCACACAGTGACCAACTTGGGGACTTGTTAAAACGTGTGCACCTAGATCTCACCCCCGGAGTTGATTCAGAATGTCTAGCACAAAACCCCCAGCCTGAATTTTTGGAAATTTCTCAAGGGTCTCCTTTGAAAAATGGCTGATTTTAAGGCTGAGGCAGGAAAAATATAAGATGAGCCTAGAGTGTCTTATAGTACCAGGAGTAAGAAAGTGCTCAAGAAACAAAAGTTTGAGACCATTTCAGAGGGACACAGGAACCAATCTGAAAGAGGCTCTGTGGGCTGGGGATTTAGCTCAGTGGTTCTGGCACCTGCCTCACAAGTGCAAGGTCCCGAGTTCAATCCCTGGTACCAAAAAAAAAAAAAAAAAGAATAGATTGAAAGAGGCTCCAATGGCCAAAGCTGGGACAGTGTGAGCAAAAAAGTACTGGATTATAACCCAAGGTATATACAAATATCCGTGAGTCTATACTGATATAAATAATCAAATAAATCGATAGAGACAAATCTTCCATGCAGAAGCATTTTAATAATATATTATACCTCTAGAAGGTAGAGATTCCCATTCCCTCATCTTGAAAGGTGGGCTACACTTAGTGATTCTTCTAAAGAAAAGCACAGGGAAAGGAGAAATAGCAACTTTTCAGGAGAGAAAACAGCAGACACCACCTTCACCGGGCTATGGTGGCAACATGACTGGCATGTCCCGTATTCATGACCAGCACCCTGCTAGGAAGGGTGAGAAGGACACTTCACCTCTCCTTTCCATAAACCTCAGTCCAATCGTGAGGAGAACACTGGAGAAACTCAGATGGGAAAGTATTCTACGGAAGACCTGGGCAGTACTCCTCAAAACTATCAAGATCATAAAAAACAAGGGAAGACTAAGAAACCTCACAGATTGGAGGAGGTTGTGTCAACTAAATACATCTTGGAAGCCTGGATGGAATCCTGGAGTGTTAAGAAAATATGAATGCAAAAACTGGCAAAATCCAAACCAAGCTGAAATTTTCTTAATAGTAATATGCCAATGTCAGTTTCTTAGTTGTACAAAATGCTCCCTACTCAAATGCAGGAATTGCAGACATGTTACTGGCAAGAGTAAAGCAAGTGGGTAAGTAAAACTATCCTGGTGTTGGGGGCATTTTCTTCTAGGATCTCAGTCTTGATGAACATGCTGGTGCAGGAATCAGACTCCTAAGAGGGCCACACACAGTGCCTCCTGACAGCCCCTGCTCACCACTGTGGGCAGTAATGTTGACATTATTTGCGGTGACAGGTATGATGCCTACCTTCTGGTGTATGTGGGTGAATAGCTAGCTGAGCCAGCCAGGGGAGTTTGGATGATTAAGTGAAAAATAAGAGATTCTTGGTTAAGATGAGGACTTCATTTGGGAACCAAAAACAAGTAATTTCTTGGATCTTGAGTCACATATTTTCCTCGAAAAGTATGGATTATCCCACAAAATTTTGTTGGGGGTTATATTATTGAGAGGTGGAGTGAGATGAATATGAGGTTTTACTTAATGGCACACTGTACTGGAAATCTGAAGACCTACTGCAGGTTTAAATTCCAGCTCTTGTTATCATTTTTTAAGATTGTCAAATTACAAAAATGCACATGAATCAAGTTTTAATATATTGTATTATATTAATACAATAATATAATGATGGATGAGGCAGTCCACTGTACCATTTCTTTCTTTGGATTGTAAGGCATGGTTTGGCAGTGCAAGAACTCTGGAACATTAACAAATGCAATAAAAAGTAAATAATATGGAAAAAAAAGAGAAACAAATGCTCCCTACTGATATGTTAACAATGGGGAAACCAAGTGGAGGGTATATGGGAAGTCTCTGTACTATCTTTACAACTTTTTTGTAAATTAAAAATTAACCCAAAATTTGAAAATGTATTAACAACAGAAATTTTTTTGAGACAGGGTCTTGCTATGTAGTTCAGCCTGGGCTTAAACTCACTATGTAGCCTAGGCTGGCCTCGAACTTGTGGCAATCCTCCTAAGTAAGACCCCATCTCAAAAAAAAAAAAAAAATTTTTTTTTTCTGGAGGACTCTTTCTTTCTTGAGGATTCTGCTAGGCAGCAATTGAGGGAATCGATGAGACTCTAAGAGCTCAGCAGATTTTCTAAAACGATAGATGGACTAAAAAGGCTCATTCTAGAAAGGGGGGACACTGTTTCTAACCTTTAAAAGGCAAATCTTTTAATAGGTTTGCATTTTAAGGAGTTTGTTTTCTATAAGGAGCTCTATTAGATAACCTTATTGATGAAAATACAGAGATATCCTGAAAATCGATTCAGGATAACTAGTAAGGAGCCAGGTTAGAAATGGAACACCTTATTTTTTTTTTTAATGGGTTTTACAAATGATCTCAATATTTGTAATTGAGACACACACACACACACACACACACAAACACACACAATCTGAGTTTGGTGGTTCTTATAACCCAGCGATGGCGAACCTTTTAGACACTGAGTGTCCAAACTGTAACCCAAAACCCACTTATTTACCATGAAGTGCCAACACTGCAATTAAACCTGAATAGTGAGATTTCAGTTTCGAAAAAACAACCCATACCGCAACATCTTTTGTCTTCTTTACCAGCTACCAACTGTGACCAAAAGTCTGGGTGCTACAGGGCCTCCACCTGGATGGGTGGGAGACTCCCTGCACTGTCTCCTCAAGGCTTAGCACTGTGCCTGGCTCTCAATATACAAACTGTCAGCCCTCAGTGACTCCCCCAGGGCAAGGTCCTTCCTGTTCACCTAGAATCTAAACTACTCAGTATGTTATCGCCTTCCTTTGAGGCCACTGCTTAGAAAATTATCCACGACATTTTCGGGATGGCTAAAGACACTCATTTTCACAACTTCCCCATTTTTGGATTTCATTTCCACAGTGTTTCAAGGACATTTTATATAGATAGATATCTGGGAAAGACCAAATTTGTGTCAAGTCCTGACATCATCAGGAATGACTCATGGTATACACTTGGAAAAACATTCAAAGGCAGAGGAACAATCAAAAATCAAAAAGCATTGGAAACCCTTACTCAAATACAGAGCTATCATTTTGATCTCCCCAAATCAGGATCTCGGTGATGGAACGAATGGTCTCTACCAGCAGGTTTCGGTTCTGTTCTGTGACTGTTGTGTTTTTGGTCAAAACATGGTACAAATACCTGAGAAAAAGGAAAGAAAACAAAAGGTTACCAACTGACATGAAAACCAGGTCCAGGTCCAGTACACCATTAACAATATTTCAGAGGAAACAAAGTAGTGCTCCTTCAGATCCAGTTAGCACAATTTCCCAATCAGGTTAGACTTGGCTCACCACCCAAGAAAAATGGTAGGCAATGCTTGATGCATTAAATACTAGAGACACATCAACCCAACTGAGGCAAGGGCATCAACAAGCTCTTGGAGACAGCCATTCTCAAACGTAAATGTGCAAGAGAATTTCCTGGACAGTTTAATAAAGGAGGGCTGCTGGAGCACATTCAAAGAGCAAGACTCAGTAGACCCAAGGGGAGAGCAGGCTTCTGCCTGTTTTACATGCTCACCCGAAGTGCTTCTGATGCTGGTGGAGGCACATAGGTCGAGACAAATGCCTAACAGAGGACCTGCAGGCAGACTGATGCTGAGAGAGAGACAGAGTCAAGCTTAGGGAAGGGAGCTCCCAAAGCTAATGGCTGAGACAAAAATAATGTGCAACGCAGATTACCTTTGGAAACCTGTCTTATTTACTTTTCTTGTTGCTGCGAAAAAATACCCAACACCCAAAGTTAAAGGGGGAAGGTGCATTTAGTTCAGTTTGTAGAGGTTTCAGTCCATTATCGCTGGTTCCAAGGCAGAGTAGTGTGGTAGACAGGCCTTGCAGAGGAGAAAACAGTTCATGGTGACCAGAAGGTAGTGAAAGCAACAAGGGGACCTTGACAGCGTCTTTCTGCGCCCTTTTATCTTATCCAGACTACCAGGATTAGGGTGGTGCCAAACAAATCAGTGGACTGATTTAGTAATCACGCACCCTTAATCCCAGCATTACACATTCTAAACTCAGCCACTTATGAAAAAGCCCTATGACCACATGAGGCTTTGAGGGGACATCTAGACACAAACCATAACAAAAGCCATATCCCCTAAAGTGCAGTATACCAACCAGAACATAAGGCTCAATTGAAGTGGGCAGTTTGCAGTTCAGGGTCAACGATCTTGTTTGCTGAGCACAGAGTTCAATTCACAGTTCAATGAGCATGGGAGGGTATGGCACTGTACCTCAGCCATCCAAACAGGCCCAGAAGCCAGCTGCTGGGGTGGATAGGAAGATGCTGCCCAGTCCCTGAAGCCTCTCTGATGGTAAAGAGGGAAACCAAAAGAACCAGCAAGGCTGATCTTGAACAGCACAGGAATCAGCAGCCTGGCCCAATGCCCAGGTGGTGCTGCCTAGCATGGCTTTTAAGGCAACTCCTTTAGTGCCCACAGATCCAGGTAAATGCACCTGCCAAAGGAGCCTCAGGCTTGGGAAGGAAAGCAGACAAATGAGGAAATGACTCAGGGAAAGCCACCTCCTGATTTCTTTCATAGCTACCACCAGGCTGAGGCTGAGGGCTGATGAAAATAAGAGAAGGAAAAAAATCGATAGGATCGTTCCTTCTACAGTCTCTAAAACTGGTAAGATAGGAAGTAGAACCTTGCCAGTGGAACGACTAGGGACTACCTGCTGCTGTCAGGGAGCTGGAGCTTAATTATTGTTGCTGTTTGTTATATATTAAAGGCATAGTATAATGAAGCATTTAATTTGATTTTAAAATTGCATGCAATTTTTAACATACAATAAGTAGTACAGCTCTCCAAAAATATAGATCCTTAATTATTTATGCCTAAACCTACCAGCAGTGCTGCGTGTGGAGGCACAAGGCCAGGCATCCTCTGGGATAACATAACTCCACAGCACTTGAACCACTCTGAGATGAACCGTGGGGACCAATCACAAATCTCTATGTTTCCATCTTGCCTCAGTGCCTCTTCTGCAAGAGGCTCAAAGAGCAGATTTCCAAACTGTGATTCATAGGCCTCCTGTACCAGATTCAGCTGTTTAAGTTGTTCCCTCCCCCAGCCCCACTGGATCAGGCTCTCAGGTGCAGGGCCCAGTCCACTGAAGTTGTTTTGTTGTTTTTGTTGCAGTGCAGGGACTCAAACCTAGGGCCTCAGGCATGTGAAGCACGCACTCTGCCACTCAACTACATTGCCAGTCCCCACTGAAGTTTGACAGCCACCTCACTGCCCCTGTGGTAGCTATCAGTGACACTCTCCACATGGTTTACAGGATGCCTGACACCTTGCCTGTGACAAGTCATTGTTGGCAGGGGAGGAGAGGGGCAGATTCTCCCTGGCCTGGAATTTTCTTCTGTGTGGAGGATGGCAGATGGCCACTAGCATCACACATCACACCCCTGGCTCAAAGGGAGCCAGCGACCTGTGTGACCACATCTGCTCTGAAGGTCCCGACAAGTTTAAAATCTTTAGGATCAGATTTGACTTCAATTGACTGGGCTTTCTGCCTCCAATACCTGGTTGCCCTCAACAACCAGCAAACTCTTACTCATATTTCAAAGCTCAGTTCATGTATCACTGATGAAGTCCCTCACTCCCTGCCCCCAAAGATTTGTCTGTCCCCTCTCACTATACCTCTGTACCCATGTGTGTTAGCTACTGCACAGATCACCTTGAGTCACAGTGATCTGTCTCCCTTACTAGATAGTCGCTGCTCAAGGTTACTGATCTTGGTGACCTCGATGTACTCCAAAATATTTGACAGACATTAGGTACTCAATAAATGATGAATGGGGCAGAGCACAATCCTCATGAAAATAAGGTGGATCACAGCATAAAAGACTGAACATAGTCAGGGGTCCAAATGCAGATATAGCCAATAAATAAATAAAAATTTAAAAACAGCACAGAGCAGTGGTGAATAGTTCAGCATTTGGAATCGAACGGACTTGGGCTTGATCCCTGGCCCTGCCAGTTCCTAACTGTGGCCCCAGACAAAATTCTTCACCTCACCTCCCTGCAGCTTAGATTCTATAAAACAGGGGTGACAGTCAAGGCCTCTTCACTGCATTGTTGCAGAGAGTCCAAAGGATAATCCATAGAAAGAGCCGAGCTTGGTGCCTGGCGTGCAGTGAGCACTCCTCAGAAGCAGGATTAGCTGTTGCTATTATTAAATGGTGTTTTTTTTTTTATGATGGGGCCATTATTAACATGCTTAATAACTATAAAAATAATATACCAGGGCCTTAGAAAGAAGAAAACAGGCTGGGACAAACTGTCAGGAAGAGATCCTCAAGGGAGACATTGTGACGGGAAGGTTGAGAGAAACCAGAGCAGGAAGTAAAAAGTCCAGGTCATTTCTGGAGTAATGGTAGAGTATCCGGGGTAATTACAGACACTGGTTCTGGCATGCTCCAGCTTGAGGACATCTCCATGACTTATTAACTGGGTGATCTTGAGCAAGCTACTTCACCTCTGTGCACCTCAGTTATCTCTACCGTAAAATGGGAGCAGCAATAGCACCTAAATACTTGAGCACCTCTGTTACAGTGTTGTTGTTAGCAATAAATACATGAATGGACAGGTAACAAATCTGGCAGTTACTTTGTATAATACAAGTACTAGTCACTATTGTGGTTGCTTTCATTAAATAATCTCTGGAAAAAATCCTAATAATTACTAGGTCTTTACACATGGAAGAAGGAAAGGGCAGAAAGTCCTGAAGGTGCTAAGAGCTCCCAAACCTGGGAAGGAGCAAGAGCACCCTGTGACCCTCAGACTGTTGCCCACTGTTACCATTGCACGGGCCAAGACAGCACCGAGGGTTGGGGATGCTCAGTGGCTCACCTAATCTCGTAGCTAAGGGGATGGTCTGAGAGTTCTATGTGCCACAGTTTCTCCAGCACTTGGTGTTCCTTGCCTTTTTTCAGGCCAGCCATTCTGCTAGGTATATGATATCATATTGGGATTTAACTGCAGGAAGGCCAATGGAGCTCAGCACCTTTTTATATGTTTATGGACTATTGCAATGACCTCTTGTAGAAAGTGCCAATACAAGTCTTTTGCTTTTTATTAGCCAAAATGGCTTTTCTTATTTATTTAATGGAGCTCTTATATATCCTTTCTTTTCCTTTTTCTTTTTTGTTTTTACTTCTTTGCAGTGCTAAGGATCAACCCCAGTGCCTTGCACATCCTGGGTAAATGTTCTGCCACTGAGCCAAAGCCCCTAGTTCATAAGTCCTTTATTTGATAAATGCATTAAAAATATTTCCTGACTATGGCTTGTCTTTTCTCTCTTTATAATATTCTTTTGACGAACAGGGGTTCTTCATCTTTTTTTTGCTTAAATTCTTTTATTGGTACATTTTAGGTATACAATACATTTACATTTATCATTGGGTGCTTGTACCTGTACATGATGTATCTTGGTTCTTATTTTTTTCCCCAACATCTGTGCTCCCATCACCCCTCCACCCTTCCCTATTTACAAAGACTTTGTTTCCATTTTTTTCTTTTCTCATAATTTTTTCTTTCCTTTCTTTCCTTTCCTTTTCCCCTCCCACTTCCCCTACCCTTTGGACCTTTTCTTCCTATTTCTTCATCTTAATATAGTCCAATTTATCAATATTTCCCCTGAGTAATGCTTTTTGTATCATGCTTAAGAAATCCTTACCTACCCCAAGTCATAAAGAAATGCTATTTTCTTCTAACAAAGTTATTGTTTTACCTTTCACATTTTGCCTTAGAATACATCTGGAACTGATTTTTGTATATGCTACTATATGCAGTATTGATCATAATTAATTATTTTCTATATGAAGATCTAAGTGATCTTGCACCATTTACTGAAAGGCCCTAATTTTTCTACTGTAATTGTGTTACCTTTATCATTAGTCAGGTGACTACATGTGGGAGTCTCTTTCTGGATGCTCTAGTTTCATTGATATTCCCTTTGTGCCAGTACCCTGCTGTCTGGTTATTGCAGCTTTATAATAAATCTTGTCATGTGATAATGTATGGCCTCCAACTTCTTTCCTTGTGCTTTTTTGATATTATATTGGCCATCTAGACACATTGGATTTCTCTATATATATTTTAAAATCAGCTCAATTTCCACAAAATACCTGCT